ACAATTTCTCAACACAAACGTACCAACACATGCATGTATCTGTGACACTTACCGGGCACTGGTTGTTCGAAGGTTAGACAACGCTATCCACTGGATAAATCTCTGTCCGGTGGATAGTGTGACACGTTTTGCTATTACTTATCCACTGGATAGCGATTTATCCGTTGAATTTCGTTATCTGACCTTTATACAACTGAGCCCAGAACACTACCAAAAGACATGCATGTATATAATTTAACAACAAAAGTTTGTTAAATTATAACAAAAGGAAGCTAAACGAGTCTCAAAAGAAGCAAAAAAGGATTTGGTGATTTTGTTACTCAGGAGCAGTTTTAAATCGTGTGTCGAAGCCGCCTCAACACTAGATACAATAGACTCGGTCGGTATACGTTTAGGCGTCACTGAGTGTTTCAGTCCGTAAGATAGTACTTGAGTCTCAGTCTTGTCTAAGGGAAGGGAAGAGATGTTCCTGACCCAGTCGTCGTCGGTTCTTTGTCGTCTTTTGTCTTTGTTATGTTGAAGTCGCGTCAGTTTTTGTTGATGTTTGTCACGAGCTTGTCGGCTCGTCTGTCAGCAATAGCTGTGACTGTGTCAAGTAAGATAGTCGGTAACTGCTGTTTCAGTTTGTCAAGTAGTTGTTGTAATTTGTTATTGTAGTGGTTGAGTCTTCTGTGACAGTCGTTAATCCGCGCTTTGACCAGTCGTCGGCAAGTGGATTTGACGATCTGGATGGCCTCTTGTGTGTTCAACGGGGACTTAAGTCGAAGTCCGGCCGGAACGAGACCAAGATCTTTGCAGCGGTGGTTGAACCAGAGAGAGATATGCAAAGGCCTTCCTACAGACACGTGTCAAAGAAGCTGAACGTGACGCACTGAGATTCCATTGGATTAAAGATAAATCGACTGAAGAGCTGGAAGTGCTGAGGTTTACGAAAGTGGTGTTTGGTCTTGCTCCTTCTCCTTTCATACTCGATGCCGTGATACAACAACACCTGGAAAGTGTGCTGTCCGAGTAGACAGGGACTGTACAAGAAATCAAGAACTGCTAGATAGTGTGGACTTCATTCTTCTCAGATGTCAGCTGGTAAAAGATGGATACTAAAAATAGCTGTCCATGAGAAAAGGTAGACATCATTAAAAAAATCACACTGAATGAAGGTGGTGGCATGATTGATTTGTGATATTTAGAATGACGAAAGCAGGAAAAACACATTGAGCCTTTTCCTATTTACCAGTAAGTTAATTAGATTTTGGATTCTACATTCAAACTGGCTGAGATTAAATTTATTGATGGCATGCTTCATTATGGCTTGTTTATCTGGAAAGATAATTGTTATTACAGCTTCACAGATGTTTTTTGTTGCAATCACAATTGACATTCATAACAAAGTTTCATTTAACATAGAATATTTTAAGAACTTTCTTTCTTTCTCTTCAATTATTATTCATGTAGCACAATTAAAGGAAGCAGGCTATTAAAAAATTAGAACTATTGATTCAGGTAATTATTTGAACGTGTGAGTAACATTTCATGTTTTCACACGTAACAGGATGATCAAGCTGAAGATAGCCTTAAAAAGGATTGAACTCCACTGCAAGAATTAGCTGACTAATTTGGAAACTTGAGCACATGGTAAATACACCTTGGCTTGCAACTCTAATGATTACAGTTTGCTGAGGTAATTGAAATGTTAGCCCCCATGCAGGAACCTTCCACATAACTTGTACAGTCATGTGCTATCTGCAACTGGGATTATGACTACTTTAAAAGACTTAACTACATGCCGTATAGGTACAGGCAGGTGTTGTAAAAAACGTTTGGTTAGCTTTCTCATTAGTGTACATTTCTTTTCCTAAGAATTTTGTTTATCCAGCCTGTGCTGAATTCTAATTTTTCAACCAAATTTCATTATTTTTTAAATATTATTAGATCTCCTTTTATCAGTTAATATTTATGTAATTCAAATAATTACATAAACTCTTGCATATGTATGGCATATTATTTTTTCTCTGATCCTCCTAACATTTTACCATGAGAAGGGACTGTTATTGGCTATAAAAGCATAGTCAAATTAAAGTTTTTTGCACAACTTATGCATCAAATTTTTGCTATAGAATATTGTATCCTTCTTAAAACTAGTTTATCAGAATAAGAATGAATTATTGGGCACAGGTATGGCTTTCACGATGATAGTTTCCAGGTTTGAAAAAGTCACTGCCTACTAAAATCTTCAGTTCCTTTACCCTGACAGCCCAACCTCGTCAAAATATTGCCAACAGGAGTGATTAGCAAATTATTGACACAGACAAGAGAGCCTATTTCCACATAGTCCTCCTCGATCCTGTCAGCTTACTATGGACATGGCATTTCAAACACGGTGTATATGCCACAATTTTTCCATTTCCCTGACTAATTATTTTGTAATAGTGTTTGTATTATATTTCAACCCAACCATTTTCCACAAGATATGTGGAAAAGACTTGCCAGTAGATAGTCAGATGAAAACTTTTCCCATATCAATAAAATGTATTATTGCGGCTCATGTTAACATGTTGCAACAAATCCACCTCCAAGTAAATTCTATTATTTGCAAAAATGAGAAAATACTATCTAAAACTTTTCAACCTATTTAATATAGCCAATAAAAACATCAACTCAACTTTTAAACTTAAGAGAAAACTTGTTTGATGTTTGTAATTGATTTCTGTGCTATAAAAATGAAGTTCAGGTTTAGCTCAAGTTTTCGTAAAGACACCCACATTACATGTAGTTACAGCAGAGGTTATCGAATTAAATAAGAGGAAAAATCTCAAACATCGTGTATTTCCAGCCAGAGGACAATCATTAGACGACAATAGCCGAAAGCGAAAAAGTTTTAAAAAATTACATAGATTCAAACACGAGTTTAAATTACTTTTTTTATTTTCTACGCTAAACAGAGGAGGTTGAAACGTTGGGGAAAAACAGTGGGGTAAGCATTCCTACCTGGCAACTTCAAGAGCAGATATAAGAGAAGCCCATACGATTCTGGCGCATCGTTTTACTGACTCACTGTGCTCACTGCACGTGTATATTGTCGTTTATTTCAATTTTGGCTCATTTTCCCAAACCGAAATTATAACTCGGGCTCAATAGAATACAATTTCAAGTAATGCTGACATCATGCGCTTCCTCTGAAGAAGAAAACATTCCCTATCTTCATAAAATTTGGTCAAAACATCAAGAACAACGACGAAGGTCGTATGCTGTCTAAAGATACCGCTGACTAGCATGCGTGTAGCTGTGAGAATATCGTCCCCAGGTTCCAGACCTCGTCAATTTTTTCCCCACCTCCCCCCTGAACTGGTCTTTCAATTCATTGAAGAAACTCTTCTTCAGCCAGTGCTGAATAGTTTTATTACAGTATTCATTCAGTATAATGAAGGGCTGGAAAATAAATTAACAAGAGCTCCGCTTTTAGGCTTGCCTAAATCTATATATCATCAGTGAGATGGTATGTAGCACGACTGCTGGGTAATCTAGTGGACACGCTTTCATAATCTGTCAGTTTCTACGCCTAACGTGTAGAGCTTTTGGCCGTTTTATGGCTAACCCCATTGAGACCCTCGTGAAAGAGAAATGTTAAATACGTTTTCTTTCAAAAGAAGGCGAAAGTAGCTCAGGATGATAGTGGTGAGCGGCGAAAGTCAGTCTGTCTCTAAAAAATAGAGCAGTATAGAATCACATGCAAGTTGGGGCATAGTCGGTTGCGTAACGTGTCAAGAGCAATTTCGCCCAAGAAAAATGTTTGATGATTATAAAGGAGGATATACAGAATAAACGTCACAGGGTACTCACCACCGGTCGTTGTGGATTCATACTTCGCTTCAAATCCACGATTAACTGTTTGTCCAGGGTGGAACATCACAAACATTTGACTTCCCTTCGACAACTGAGGCTCATTCCAAGACGACCCCTGGCAAAATCGCCCCAGCGAAGGCGAACTTGTTGACCCACCATCATAAAGCTCCACATAAGAACAAGAATCTGAACAACCATTTCCTGAACACTCACTTAACACAAAGTCAGTAAACGTAAAATTTACAATTTTGTCAGCTGGCGCGGTAATGTTCCAGGTACAATTTATGGACGCAGTGTAGTTACTCTTTGGGTAGTTTGTGCTGCTTATTTTGCCGCTGCCTGAGAGAGGAATTGCTTCCTTGGGACAAACTGTAAGCAATGAGAAGGAGCATGTGAGTGTGGGAGAATAAGCATAGGCTGTTCCGGGCGTTCAATTGCTAAAACACAGGACCATATTCAACAGCGCGAGAGCAGCTGGAGAGTGAAAAAACCAGGGAGGTGTGGGTCATGTTGGGTAATCAACATCTTCTTTCCCCTACCAGACCCAAGCCACACTCTCTTTTTCGCTACGCCGCTACTATCGTGCCCCTGGCTATTTCGCTCTGTTTGAGTGGCTAGAACGCTTGGAATAAGCCAGAATAAACATGGATTGGTGATAGATATATGGCTTCTTTCTCAGACGCCGTCAAAATATGCATGGTAAGAACGAAAGAGTGGCACACGAGGCGCTGCCAAGTGTCACTGATGAAAACAGGGTGACATCATCAAATATCTCTTCCTGAACAGACGCACGGCAACGTGCAATCTAACTGTTTATAAGGGAGTAGCCCTAAGGCAAGATTATGAATATTTGAAACTCGTTACGGTGACCATTATCAACTCAGTTGATGGAACCAAATTATCTTATTATACTTCTCGACTGACGCAGCACCACAGTTTCTTTGGAAACTTACCACCTTAATTCAATTAAGGTTGGCATGGCTTCCCAGTACAGCATCGCTTGCACTATACAACAGAGATGTTTCCACTCATCCTGAGTTGATAACAGAGAGAACCTCCACCCTTATTAACTAAGTTCCTTATTATTACTTGTATGAGTGAGTTTATTGCATGCAACATATTCTCTCAGCGAACTCTGAGATCTCATGACGTTGTTGTCTCTACTTACTTGGAGGACTGTAGTTCAACAGCTTGTAAGTTGCCCCAAATCCGTCATAATCCATGCTTGTATCATCGGACACAAACAGCACCCTCAAGCTTTCGTGCAGGGAATAAAATTTTACCGGAATATGTGTTGGTGTATTACATAGTTTTCCAGGCAGCACTTGGTCACTGAAGCTACTCTGAACTTCCATGTAGTCACACGAGCAAGCAGCGCCATCACAACCTTGAAGATTATAGTCTGGTATTGTGAGCTCAACACGGTATCCTTGTTTCCCTATAATCTTCCAGCTACATGTCTGGTTGAATGGATAGTTTCTTGGATTATAAGGAGAGGAGAAGGAACCTGATGTTTCATCGAGGATCATATCTGTTGGGCACACTGAAAAGAGTAACAAAGACTGCCAGCTTTAGTAAAATGCATCTAATCTACTGTAAAAAACTTAATGAATTTTCGATACCGCCTACAGCTCTTTTTCAGTAAGTTGACAGTTTTATTCTTTAATCAATATAACAATTGTGTAATATAGCAGCTTGCGTTCGAGTAAAAGGCTTGATTATATGCAGTATTTGTCTACAGACTATAGCTGTTCAAAGATTGCCTACTGTATTACTTGCATGATATACTCAACAAATTCTCGCTCAGTTTAATAGGGGTACATGCTCAGTACACTTCTATACTTCCGGTTATAAACTACCTTAGAAGATAAGCTCTTACGTGAATCTCCATCTATCGCCTGAAAGATTGCATTGAACCCTTTGTTTACAAGGCCGGTGCGAGACTCAAATCTCACTTGAATGAAATGTTCCTCGGAGTACACAGGAGGGGGAAGCTTTTGACCACAGATCTTAAAGTCATTGGGTTTTCCTCTATGAGAGGCAACGTTTGTGATAAAGACTCGGGCACTGTCTGCTGCCGCTCCAGCACAGTCATCGTTTTCACCTGCTACCAGGGTAAAGTTCAAGAAGGTCAGTTTGAGGGTTTTTCCACCGGGTACCGTGATATTCCAGGTACAAATCCTGTTTGTGTCATAGTTGTTGGGAAAATTGGGGCTTGAAATGTGACCACTAGTAGCATTAATGGACTTTCCAGCAGGGCTGCAGGCTGTAAAAAAAAGGCATCTTTCAATTAATCTTTGGTTTCTTACTCCAAGCAAAATAGAAATTGCAGATGTGTTTCAAACTAGCGCTTTCGTTACCATATCTTTACTAAGAATGAGAATCTCAGTTGACTTAAACAAAGACTAAATCTGTGGATTAAAATGCAGACATATAAGACGATTATTTATACTTACGATCACTTGTCACCAGAGTCAGGTTGGCAACTGCAACAAATACAAATCAAAGTGCTCTGTGAGCAAACTCGTGAACTGACAGATGACTTACGTGATTTTTTGGATTATGTTTAATGTTATCTGGTTTAGGGAATTTTGTGGTTGATTGTCATATTTAGAGTACGAGCAGTAGTTCATTGTTCGCTAATGTAGCAAAGAAACAAAGTAATGTTGGGATAAGAAGGCACTACAATTGTGATGATCATGCTATTACATTTGACAAGGGTGAATAATGTCATTTGTTTTAAACATTTATTTTGTTTTTAGAGGGCACGATAACGAATCCTGCAATCTGATTGGTCCTTTACCCGGTCAGTATTTTCCTATCTCTGGCCACGGGCCACAGTAACGCTTTCGTGAGTCGCCGAGTACATCCCAACTTTCGTTGCCATTTTTTATAAATATATCTCGTTTTTCCGGCTGGGCAGTATTTTTAAGCAAACTCGTCTGTCACTACCTCAAGCCAATAAATAACTTATGAATCCTCTGTTTTCTCTGTCTCAAATCACTTTGGTCGACAGAAAAATATTGGTTGCAGAATGAATTTGTATAAGCAATAGTGTCAATTACGTTGGTTGATAAGCGGTCTAAAAACCGTCTGAAGTTAAATTTAATCGTTCACAAAAAGTACATAGAAAGTTAAAACTTGAAGTATTTGGTTACAGTTAAACTGAACGATGGAACTTTCATTCATTTAATAACTGAATTTTCTTTAGCAATTTGTTCGTAGCAAAAGAGCGAGTGAAGTTTTAATTTAAGTTCTACAACAAATTTACGCTCTCGGTGAGTCTTTCCGAGCCCGTTCAATTTGGACATTTGTACCGTAAATTGCACAATAGAAGCTGAAGGAGTTTAATGAGAAAAGGCCGCATTAAATCCCTGTTTGTTTCGTTGGAGTGTGCCATTCGAATTTAGTTTTTGTGGAGGAAAGACCAGATTTACACACGCCATTGCAGCAAACAAACGAACAAACTCTCACAACTTCAAAATAAAAAAATTGAATTTACTCGCATTTACTTTCCTCGTTGTTTAATTAATGAACAGAGGTAAATCTCCGTACATGAATGAATTGTCGATGAGAATGAATAATACTTTCCGTTAGACCATTGACTGTTTTTGAAGAAAACATTGTCGTGACAGTCCTCGCCAAACTAATTCCGTTGTTTTCAAATGTTCTTGCGCATTTTTTCTTATGTGCTCCCTAATTGACAGTTGTGAGATTGTGACAGATACTTGTAAAAATAATGTCTTAAAATTTCTTTCAAAGCCTTTTAAATCACCTTTATCGTTACGGAAATGAAAATGTTTCGGTGAGGCATCTCTCTTTCATTTGCATCACCTCTATTTTAACTACCATTTACTCGCTCAAAAATTGTTCAGTTTATGAAAGATCTTGCCGTATTTACAGCCCTAAATCATTCGGGTTCTTTCGGAAAGAATTTCGCCAAGTTTAAAAAAATATATATATGTTATTTACCGGCTAAAGGTCGGTCCGTATGGTGAAAAACTGTGACCTCGGTCTTGAAATGTTTTTCACCATACGGACCTCCCAGCCGGCAAATAACATATATATCATTTGTGTCTCTGGTTCAAAAGAAGAGGTTGGAAGTAAATGTGAGTGAAAAGTGAAATTTACTTTCCATCATTGTAAATATTTGAAAATCAAGGCAATACATTAATGATTCCCTCTTTATCAGATGAGACAAACGGGAACGAGTTTTGAGTGACATAACTAAGCCAAGACTGCCACGGTCATTTTGGATTTCCACCTGGGTAAGTTTTGGTCACGTGCTAGGCAACGTATAATCGAGAACAAGATAGAATTTCATTTCAGGCCTATTTATCCATTTTGTGGTGTATAACTTTCGCATTTTAGTATGTAATATCTATTTAGAATCTTCAAATTGTCTTGAAACTTAAAAGAAAATTGTTCTTTAAAAAATTCACTGGAAATCGGTAGCCAAAATTATTTGTTTAGGTGTTATTTGATTTTCGTGTTAACCTGTAATTTCGTCAGTCGCCGGCACCTTTTGTTGCTTCACACAGGAAAAACACACGATACGAAATGTAATGATCGATGTTGTCCCCAACCTCACGCCACAACAGGAAAAGCTTTTTTCTGTAAAACTCCGAGCGCTTCAGAGTAAGTGATATTTTTAATGAATCGTCGGATTGTTTTCAAGTTCAAGGATTGTAAATTACAATTTTGTGGAAAACGAAGGCTGTTGTCTTATTTCATTGTGAACCCTCGAACGCCTGCCAGTTGCTAGCGCCGCTTGTTGAAACTAGAACGAAAAAAATTAACTCTTTTAATATTATCATTGGCTTCTTTTTCATCTCAACACTATTCTTAGCAGCAAAGGTCGCCATTTCGCTTGTTTATTACTCGCCAAAGACTATCAAATGCACTCAAAAGCCTAAAATTGAAAAATAGTTTACAGGAATCGACCAATCGAACGAGCAAGCGAGTGCCATTCCCCACATCATATCTACAAGTCGCTCTTGCGCATGCATAATTCACGAGTTAAAATGAATATGTGAACACGTTTCTCAACGTATGTAATAGAAACAGTTCATCCCAAATTCTAAAAAGTGTGGGTCATCTGAGAAAAAAGGTAAAGCACAGAAAACTCCCTTAGCTGCGATAGTGCTATTAATACCAGAAATAATTCTGAGCTGATTTTTAACTTGTTAATATCTCATATTTTCTGAGCGGCTTAAACGCCCGTTAAACTGATCTAAGGCAAACTGATTATATTTTTATGTGTGCGTGTGAGACATCAATTCTTGCAAGATTTTAAGCTGAGCCGTTCTTCACTTGTTGAGGGTTGCAAAGGAATTTATACGTAACTGGTGATTAAGACGGAAATGAGTATCTGACGCGTGAATTTAGCGGCAAGAAGAGCGAGATTCGTGAAGTTATGAAACAGCGTGAGGCGCGATTTGCCTCCTGAAACCTTGTTCACAAGAACATAGAGTTGAAGTTTTCCTTTTACATGTGTGATTTTTTTTGTAAAATTCACTGAGGGTTAGGGATCTCCGGGTGACACTTGTTACCCGATCCTTTTAAAGGCAATTTAAGATTGTTATCCTAATTGACTGCTTAGGCCCCTTGAAAGAAAACCGGAAAAAATGGCGCCAATATTTAACCAGGCTGTCAGTATTTAGTTTTCTGGAATTTCTCACAAAAAAATTAACATAAGAACACAGGAATGTTTTAAATGCTATACAAGCTCCGAAAAACCTTAATGCCACTCCACAGAATTGTCATTGAAAGTTATGAAAAAAGCTTCCGTTCAACAATTACCAACCAAAGAAAGACTTTACGCAGTATTTATCAAAGCTGGTATCAGTGAAAAGAAATGATATGACTTCCTGTTGGCTCCTAATAGTGCTTTTTTTTTTAACATCCTTCCCTTAGAGATAGAGGAGTTTGTCGGTGGGAAGCGGAATAGGCTGGATGGCGACGACGCTTTTGGCCGTGAAACAGAGATTTTGTTATATCTATTTCCCGAGCTTGGCGATACTGAGGTTCGTCTCGCGGAATATTTTGTCTAGCAAATCGACTTCCGGTGTGACGAGTCGTTCGATTCGAGTCGATCGAGTCGATTCGACAGTATCTGCAACCCCCTTTGGTGGCCACTTGCGGACGGGTCGACTTTAACCGCGACGGGTCGAAAGGAGTCGATTCGACAACATTTTCAACAACCCTTGGCAGTTACTTACGAAATATTTTCCAAGTGCAAATTGACTTCCGGTACGCGTTTCCATCTAATGAGAGATGGTTTATCAGATTTCCGATTAACCACGAATCAACTTCCAGTAGAACGATTCGCAAACTGCCTTTGACGAATCGTAGCGGTTTGGGTGTATTTGAAAACCCTCTTGCAGCGTGTAGATATCTTTTGAGCCAGACCTACACACCTGAGCCCGACACCAAGCAAAGAAACTCGAAAGAGTGCTGTGTACCAACTGGCTCGCAGGTGCACGCAAAGGCCACGACATTCAGCGAAAATAATGGCAAACGCAGACGATAATTGCAGTCAAAAAACAGGCAATTAAAATAACAGAAGGTTTAAGAACTTTCTAGAAGTGTTTTCTTGAGAAAACAGATAAACAATTTCACTTCTCAAGAACGATCACGCAGTCATGATACAAATACTATTTCTGCGTGGAATTTGTTGATGGTGGAAAGTGGAAAAACATTTTCCAGCCTTATTTTCTGGAAACATGGCGCAGTTAATGAATTTTATGGGGCTATCCATATTTCCTTTCAAATGAGGAGGACAGAGTTTCCCGTCACCGCGGTTTGGAAAAGCCGAAGTTGTCAAACGGGAACTTGTACGTCAACAAGAATGCGACATGTGATTTTAAAATCTCCTCTACTGTTACAGTTTCCTTATTGTGAACTGTGCGATAATGATAGTAAACAATCAAATTATAGACTAATGAATGTAAAATTCATTAAAGTATGAGCCAGCAGTCTTCCCGCAAATTTCCCTTGATGAAAAAATCCGAAGACATAGCCAGTTTTTTTTTCGTGCATAGACAAAGACCATAAATTTGGAAGAAAAGTGAGATGCAAAGGTCTGAATTTTTTGTAGCCTAAAGCAGCTGTACCCTCTCCTGCAGTATTCGTCTAAATTTTGCAAGGTCCCTCTTTATCTTCTGCCTTGTTCGGTCAGTTTCGACCTCTGATGTTAGATTACCGACATCGGCCTCATTCATATTTACAGAGGAGAACCTCTTCGATAAACCAATTTTTGTTAGGGCAGATAAGCGGCTAAAGTATCTAGCGATTTCCT